GGAGGGATGTGGACAACATCGAGAGGGTCCAGAGGAGGGCCACCCACATGATCCAGGGACAACAGGGCAGACCCTACAATGAGAGACTGCGGGACCTAAACCTATTCAGCCTCCACAAGAGAAGGCTGAGGGGGGACCTGGTGACCGTCTAGAAACTCACTAGGGGGGACCAGGAGGGTTTGGGAGAGACGCTGTTTCCCCTAGCACTCCCTGGCATAACAAGGAATAACGGCCACAAGTTGTTGGAGTGAAGGTTTAGATTACACATCCGTAAGAACTACTTCACAGTTGGGGCGGCTAGGATCTGGAACCAACTTCCAAGGGAAGTGGTGCTGGCTCCTACCCTGGGGGCCTTTAAGAAGAGGCTTGATGCCTACCTGGCTGGAGTCATCTGAGCCCAGTTTTTCTGCTGCCCAGGCGGGGGGTCAGACTTGACGATCTACAAGGTCCCTTCCGACCTGACTTCTATGTTTCTATGACAGTAGCATACCCTGAGCAAAGAATAATAAAAGCAACTAAAGTAGGAGAAGAGAGAAAAGTTCTCTAGGAAACATTTCCACAGAAAGTCACTTTACTTTTCATGTTCTGTTGTGCATTTAAGGGGAGTATGACACCCTGTTAAAAAGTAACCCTTATATTTAGGGTTCACTCTTCCTTGCTGTCATGACCTTGCCACGGTGAACATCGTTGGAATTTCTCTTGAACTTCTGAACAAAATCCCAGAAAATCTGGTCATCTGCACAGAAAGACTGATGTTAAACTGCACCATCTGTTCCCTTATAAATTGAGGGGGGCGATTCTCACAATATTGGAAGCTTCCCAAACTTCATCCACTGATTTTTGGGTTCCCACAAGTGTTCTGAGAAGCTGGACCATTTTTCACTGTCATTTAAATCCATGCATTTTCCAAAGGGTAGGATTTGGTGGTTATGTTGCTTCAGACCAATTTTAAATCCCTATGGGGCATTGTTCATAACTTAGTCTGTAGGAATTATATACACAAGTATTTTTCCGAGAAACATGCATTACTGATATCCAGAGAACTTGTATCAGTTCACTCCATTCAGCCATTAACTCTCACATGACAAAGAAGAGTGGGTGGGGGGAAGAGCCTTCAGGCAGTGAGCACGTTTTGCTGGGATTTCTAAACCTTTGGGTTAACGAATTCATTTTGTGACATTTTTGTGTGGGGAGAGGAGCTCGGAGAAGAAACAAATGCGAATGACTCATTGCTGCAAGGAGTCAGGCAAGGGGAATGAGCTGAAAAGAACCTGTAGGATCGTGTGCTTGCATGAGCTGCTCACCTCTCCTGGCTGACTCATTAGCCACCATAAATTTTAAAGAAAATTGTTGCCTTGTGTAAAGTATTATTTAAAAAACAAACCATTTTAAGTGCATTTATTTGAATGTGAAGTCTTCATACACAAGAGAAAAACAAGGGTAGATTTGGTATAGGCTGGTTTATAGTGGTCCCTGGAGCAGGGGTAAGCAACTCCTAGCATTGGTGCCAGAGCATGGCATGCAAAGGCATTTTGCTTGATGTGCTCCTTGGGGCGGACAGCTGTACTACCACAGTAAGGATCGGCCCCTCACAGCTCCCCCACCATCCGCCCCTGGCATGCCAGCAATCTTACAAGTGGAGGTTTGCAGGTGTTTTTGGCACTCTTACCAAAAAGTTGCCGACCTTGGATCTTGAGTTTTCATAGTGATATTTGGTTTATAGTGCTATATAGCCATTTGAGATGGGGAGATGTTTAGCAAGCATCTCTGGGCAGTCAAAGGACAGACTGACGTGTGGGCAGAAGGTAGAAGAAGATGGGGGAATTGAAGATGAGCTCAAAATTGGGTTATCTTTAATAAGCCGTGTGGAAAGAGGCATGTGAGGTTTTGTATGAGTAGCAGAGATGGGAGCTCTGATGAGGGTTGGAATTTCTGCTGGAGGTGGCGTGAAGCTCACGAGGGAGAAGAAACAGAGGGGATAAGGACTCTACATTTTAAGAATTAACGTCCAATAATCCTATGGAAAAGAGTTAATCTTCCCTTGATCAATCATAAATTGATTGTTTCGGTTAACGGAGCTTAGCTCTGAGCGTGTCACTTCCAACTTGGCTTGCACTACCGCAGCTGCAGTCACCAGTGCCCCAACAGCTGCCATCACTTTTCCTTGCCATCCAGCTGCCACATAGGCAAAGGCCACCTCAAAAATGCCACCAGAGACCCCCAGCTTCGCCAGCCAGATATAACCCACAGGCTATAAGTTACCAACCCCTGCAGTATACCATGTTTGTTGTATGATTCCTGATATATAAGGCTCAGTGCAGGTGTTCTGCCTGAGTAAGGAGTACGGATCATGGTCCCCAGAATCTTTGGCATTGTATGAAAAACATGCTGCTTTTACTTGTAATGTAACTCTTCCAGAAATACAAAGTGGCTGCTGCATGCTCAGATAGATTTCCTCATGATTACCAAAGTCAGCTGTGTTTTGAAGCTTAAATGTTTGTAAATCAAGATGAAACGTTTTCATTTCTTAAATCACAGTATGCATCTTCCAACATAATTAAGATCCATTGTTGTCATTGTAGTTTTGAGCGGTAATTTAATTTGGTTGACTTAATAAGCAGCCTTTTTCTTCTAGGATTGGAATAGTCATCTTCATAAGAAAAGATGGTAACATATCAAAGGTTTAAATGTGCTGCCATTACAGCCTGGTGCATTGCATCAAGGATGCCATCTTTTCCTGGAATGCTTTTTGCTTTCTGTGACAGATGTTTCTTGAGACAGACATAAAAGAAGAACAGAGTAGGGACATCGAAAGAAGTGACTGGAATGATTGTGTTGGTTTCCAAATGACAGCGGAGAAACGGAAGAAGGAGCACTCCAGGAAATTCAGAATAGAAATGGAAGCAAGAAATAGAATTGGAACAAATACTGACATTCTGATTTAAACCCTTAGTAGAAACCCACTCTTACGTAGAGGTTAACCTCCCAAAGAGTTTTCCAGAGGAGCCCAAGAATTTTAAACGTAGTTGGGTGAAATTGCAAAAATCGTTTCAACATATATATAGGACCCTCTTTCTCATTGCCAATTATTTACAATTTTCAGTGGACAAATATAGGCTTGAATTAAAATTATGCAGGCGTTCTTCACGCACAAACAAAATTCAGTATCCAGTTGGACCTCTGCTTGTTTCACTATCAGTTTGGCAAGTGCCGTCAGTGTTGCATGACCTGAGTTGCATGGAATTTGGTCTGTTCCCTGCTTGACTGACTAAAGCTGTTGTGGGCTGGGTAAAGACTTGGCACATGTCATAAAAATCATTGCAAATGCACTTCTGCAGGAACACTTGCAGGACCTTGTATTTTCACAATCAAAAATTGCACATAGGAATGCTGAGGGCCCTCTAACCTATGGGAGGAAGGGATTAGAGCCAAAGTGCAGCAAGATTTGGTGAGTCATCAGCCAAAATGCAAACTGTTTGGAGTGCGACACATTCAAGTGCTTTCCTGGATCACTTCTTACTGCTACTCCCAGACTTTATTTTTGGCATCTTTTACCCATATTTGAAGGGGAAGATTGTGTGATTTTTGTAGTCCAGCCTGCACTGGGGGAGATGCCGCTTGGCTCCAGGGAATACCCACCCCAGTTGGAGAAGGAGGAACCTGTATTGCCACAGTAGCAGGCACCCAACACGGGTACTCTGGCACGCCCAGCTACTAGCTCCACCAATCCCTGTACTTCCCAGAGCTCACCCTCTGGTTGGGGTGCACAGTGTGACTAAGAAACCCTTTGTGCCTATGTGCACACTACAGCAGTTTCAAATTTTCAGCTGTCATGTACTAAATCTGTTTCTCACAATTGAGTTCTTTAACAGTTGTCCTATTACCTTGGAACAGTAGGATCTGTCTTAGCCATTTGAAACTTTACACTGGTGCTGATTTCAATGGCAAATGCATGAAGTAGCAAAGAGTCCAAGCCTCCTTTGAAGCAAGATGCTGAGCGCTTCCTGTTATGCACTGTGCACTCTTGTCCCCTGCTGTCTGCCATGACTGTTACTGAAACGCACCTGTTCAACACAGCAGTGTAAAGCAGAACTCAGATTCTCTTCAGCTGGAAACTTGTATTTGCTTTTTGGGATTAAATAGGGTTGATTATTTTCTGTGTTACACTGTCAAATACGGGGTTTTTCTTGTGTGTCTTGGCCCTACCAGAGCCATTGTTTTGGAAGTCGTTTCCAAAGCACTTTATTTCCATTCTCGTCTTTGGCCTCCACACCAGCGTGCTTCCTACCTTCATCCACCAGGTACTTCCTCTCTTTAATACCTGTCTCTTTAAAGTTTCTCCACTTTCTTCTTCTTAAATAATAATCAATAATAACAGTCAATATCCCTCCAGCAATTCTTTTCTGAATGGTTTATTTTTGTGTTGTCTAACATGTGTTCAGATCTATGAGAAACGTCTGATCTAGGGATCCAATACTTGAAATCCTGGCACGCTGATATAAATAAAGCTATCTTGAATTTAAGATGGCAAGCAAGGTGGCCTGAAGGGCTATTTTACATAAGGAAAAATAGGCAAGTGAGCAGAGATTTTCTGGGTCACTTCTGTGCTTTTTAGGTGCTGTAAATTAGCAGTACACTGTCAACATATTGCACTTGAAGGAGCGTATCACAATAAGCTTGAATCCATTTTGATTAGATAAATAGCAAACAAACATCATTAAAGTTCCTGCCAAATACAGTTGGAGTGTTATGGATTTTTTGAAGAGGATATATTGAGCCGTGGATCTTCTTAATATCCAATAGCAGACTGGTTATATGTTGTTTTCATATTGAACTTTTGTAGTTATGTTTGATTTTTTTTTTTTTGGACAGGACATTATCTACAGGTGTTTACAGTAAGAGTAAACCTATGGCTGAGTAAGAAAGGGCCTTATATGAACTGAACAGCTATTACTATGGCAAAGCACAAGTAATTTGGTTCTGTCTGTACTTGCTTCTAGGTTTATTCCGATATACAGAGGACCAAGTCACACGTATAAGGTACAAAGACTGACAGAATCGACTTGCTACACGTTTAGAATACAAGCAGTCAACGATGCTGGAGAAGGGCCTTTCTCAGAACTGTGCACTTTCTGCACCACCAAATCTATCCCACCTGCCATCAAAGGTATGTAGTAGCCAGGGAGATGATGTATACATGTTTGTGTGTTGCCATGGACTAGTAAGAGGAAACTATAATAGGAAGATTGTTGTCTCCAAAGACAGTCCCACGTTAACTGTAATAAATCCCATATTCCACAGAAACATAGGAACACTGAGACTAATAGTAACTTTGTTATAGAAACAGGGACCATTGCTGTGGACTAATGGAGAATTTTTTTAAAGAGATCCTAGAATGTATATGTACATGTAGGATACTTGGAAAGGAGTGAGTTGCATATCCTTTTAAGTTGCTGTGTAGTTTGTGTTCAATCATTAGCATTCATTGAATGCTTAGGAGTTTTGTTTTCCTTCCATTCCTAAAACTGTCACTGATATATCTTATGTACGTGATGGAAGACAATACCCAGATGCATTTTAAGAAGTTTTGCTTTGGAAAAAGGCAGAGTGACAACCAAATTCCACAGTTTTGCTCTAGATAATACTGTCCCTCTAATTTTATATGTAGATGAAAACTTCATGGTTTCATTTTCATTTAAATTAGGTAGAGAGAGAGAGAGCTAATTTAAATGGAAATGAAACCGTGAAGTCCATATACAATGAATGAAGATTTATATATTGTTTTTAACTTTTTTTTCTATACAGCTGATATCTTGATTCATAACCTTTGGGTATTGGGTACCTTTTCAAGGATTTCACCAGGATTTTTTAACATTTACCATGGTTGCATTATTTTAGACAGATTTTTGTGTTTATTTGGCACAAAATTCAAGTGTAAACAATATTTGTCCAGGGGAGAGTTCCCCTTATCCACTTTTGCCCTTTCCCTCTAGCCAAAGCATGCCCTTTTTGCCTGTATAACAAACTGAATGTTTAATGGTAGCAACCAAAGTGCAAACTGTCCAAAGACCCTGAGTACACATATGTGGTCAAGCCCATTGCAGCGTCACTGCTGTTGTTTGTTACCCAGGGTGGGTAGATTGAAGCTTCCACAGGTACGCTAGCACAGCATTCCTCAAGCCATGCCTTGCAACCCAGAAGTGGGTCACAAGAATATATGAAAGGGTCACAAACAAACTTTTAAAAATGGATTCTCCTTTAAAGGAGAAAAACATGGGAAACTGGCCATTCACTTGCAGGCTGGCAGAGTTCCAGCCTGCGAGGGGCTGCTTGGGGTCCCCCCTGGCCCATACACTGGGGGTGGGGGGCAGCGGGTTGGGAGTGAGGGGCACTGGGTCAGGACTGGCCACCAATGTTGACAAATGTGTCCTGGTACAAAAAAGGTTGAGAACCATTGTGCTAGCCCATACAACAGTGACATCTTTATTTTGCTGTGACGTACTGTGTAATTGGCTCATGGCTCTTTGGGGAGTGGGGGTTTCACTAAGTGGAAAATGACCTTCTTACCTAGGTTTTCAATCCCTGTTAAATGTGATTCACATTCTGGGCTGAATATAAGGCAGTTATGGTATTTGACAAACACTGGGTTGTATAGGGGAAGGGAAGGAGTGGGAGGCATCATCCCAAACCGTAGCAGCAAACCCTGCAATCTGAAAGCAATATAGGAGAGCAGAGAATTGTGTCCTGTCAGGAAGATAACAAAACAGATCATTCTTGATTACCTTTCAGTGCTGAGAGCCACTCAGAGGAGGACAGTTTGTTTTCCTGACCTAGGTTTTAGTCCATGGGTCCTTAACTTGTTTTAGATTCAAGGCACCTCGCAGAAAACACCAGCACTTAACTTTCACCTTTTTTATA